CTGAAGAAGAAGGAGAATCCTCTCTTAAAGACTTCACTCACTCAAAGTCATTTTTAACAATAGATCTGATAAAGATATTCTATACAGCTGACAGTGTACAGATTTCTGAATGAGTTTGGTGCCATGCATAACATCAGTATTACAGTCTCAATCTTTATAGGTTAATGCATTTGATTTCTAGCAACTTGCATTGTTGAAACTATATCTATCATGTCTTATTTTATGTGCAATTCATGTGGTTTCTATGAAGCAACACAACAGTTCTTTCACAGGGGCTGCAACTTTGGATGTAAACATTTATTCATTTCATAAAACTTTTGGATATTAATAGAAAAAATTCCTTCTGAAATTCATTGCTTGGATCTCTGATAGAAATTCTAGAGATTAGGTTTGGTAAGCTCGTAAGTTGAAAGGCTATGGAATTTGTGATTAACTTTGAAACTGATTCAATCATTCTTATTAAATTACTAAATGAAAGTTGTTTTGAGCAGACACTTTTCTAGATATTTTTGCATTAATACAAATGTCTGCCAGAACTCTATCCTTGAACCTATTTTATTGCTAATTTTCATCAACAACATTCCTAATGTTATCAGGTCTCAATTCTGTATCTATGTTGATGACACAAGTATTTACTCCTATCTTAATGGTAAGTATGATTGTTTCAATACTGTCAAATTGGCAGCTGAAATGACCTAAAATTTGTTGTTAACTGGAGCAAAGAATGGCTTGTTAATTTAAACACCTCCAAAATTAAATTACTCTCTTTTAATCATCTGAAAGAACATTTTTTTTGTTTTCCAAAAGCATGGCCAATGCTAAACTCCATGTTCTAGGGCTAGTGTTTTCCACTGACATGAAGTGGAAAGATTATACTGAATCAATTACTCAGTCTGCTGCTAATCTTGGGGCCCTTGGGATACAGCTCAGACTTGCTGATATGTATATCCAGCACTGCATTCATCCATGCATTGAATATTGCTGACATATCCAGTCTGAGGCATCTGCTATGTATTTAGAGATTCTTGATAAAATCTAAAGAAGAATATGCAATGTTATTTGTCCTGACCTGGCATTTCAGCTACAGCCACTTTCCCATCATCATAACATAAATTTCCTGTGGCTTTTCTATAAATAGTTTCATGGCAATTCTTTGAGGTACTATTTTCTGTTGTATCTAGACTTTATAAATTTAAGCATGGCAGTAAAAAATTGGCAGTAGCATCTCATTATTTTACAGTTGAAATGAGTAGATGCAACTGTAAGTTTTATGCTAACAATTTCTTCTCTCACACTTTTTGTTTGTGGAACAATCTTCCAGCTTATTGCTTTTCAGTCAACTTTGATATTCAAAAGATTAAATGTAATGTCAATCGTCATCATCTGTCTTCTTAATTCATGTTCTTTTATTTTTGTTTCTCCTTAATAATGTTGTTTCACTGATAATCTCTGACACTAAGTAAATCCTTGAACATTAGTGGCTTTATTGCCCTGCTTGGGTTGAAATGATTAAATAAATAAGGTATAGTAATAGTACGTCCTAAAGAAGAAAAAATAAAACTTTCTACAAGATCAAAAAGAAGGAATTTCTTCTCTTAGAATTTAATTTACTATAACATAGAGGGAACACTTGCAATATTTGAAACAGCAGTGACGTGACTAAAAATATTCATAAAATTTTTGATGATACAGAAATTTTATAGTAAGTTTCATGCTGAAGAATTCAGCAAATATAGATTTTATTCTGTGAGAACACAAAAGGTGTCAAACTCTTTAACAAAGAAATAAAACTTTTGTAACATAATTATTAGCTGTAACATATTTCTTTGTATTTTTGTTTTCCTTTTTATAACAAGGATATAATTCTTCTCGTGAAAATCAGATTCTAAATTTAGATTAATGACATCCTACCAGGATTTATTATTAGTGAATTCAATTTTAACAACTAAGATATACAGATAACACATTGTTCATGGCAGACACAGAAAGAAAACTGCAGGAACTTCATGGCAAGATAATAAAAGAAAGCAGAACGAAAGAACTAACCATTAATTGTAAGAAGATGGTTATTAGCAAGATGAAAAATCCAAGATTTGAGCAATTAAACAAATTTAAATATCTGGAAAATATTAGAATAAACAATGAAAAATGTGACATAAAAATTCAAAGGTGCATTTGAATAGAGAAAGAGACCTTACAAAAGCTAAACAAAGTATGAAGAAACATGAAAAGGTTGCTGATTTGCTACATAATATTGATCCTTCTATATGGCAGTGAATGCTGAACAATCGCCTCACAGGTGAATATGAGACTTAAGGCAACAGAAATGTGGTTCTGCAGAAGGCAGTTGAAAATACCCTGGACTGAATATGCTAACAACAAAGAAGCTTTAAGGAAAATAAGAATAAAATGGAGAGATATACTTTGAATCAAAAAGAGTTGAAAGTCATATAATGAGTGCTTTGGTGAATTTGATGCTCACAAGACATAATGAAGGCAACAGAAGCAGAAGAAAAACATTGAATAACTTATCTAATAAGCTTGTGGAAGAGAAAGTAAGGAGACAAACAGTGTTAAGTTTTATAAAATGACACAAAGTTGTGGTTAGCCATGATTGTCCACATCCTGAATGGACACAATAGCAGAAATATTTAAAAGCATTCAATTGTAAAGAGACCTAAACAAATCTATTCTGTCGCAATGTTAAGAAATAATATATTGTAGGGATCTTGTGATCATAAGAAATAAAATAATTAATTCCTATGATTCAACAGAAACCACCCTACTGGTTGGAAATTTAGCTACATTCACTTTTTCATTGACTTCTCAAGAGAGCATGTGGAATTGAACACTTCCAGGAATGAAGACCACAGATAAATCTTACACAAATATCACTTTCTCATATTTAACATTATCTTTTAATAATAGATTTATCACTTGCATATAATTTATTCATTCACAAAGACAAACACAAAATCAGAAACATTTATTAACAATCATATTACAAGAACTTTTCTGCATCTATTGAACTAGTAACACCAAAACCTTCTGATAATAAATCCTTCTATATATGTATAAATGTCTCACTTTGTTGTTATGATGTATATATACTATATTTTACTAACCAGAAACAGGAGTCAAACAAGGCCCATCATAATACTTTCTTATTTAATAGTAGAAAGTAAGACAAATAAATTTAAAATATTCAGTTATCTAAAATTTAAATCTGACAAAATTATTGCAAAGTTATTTTACCTCTATACTTGTTCAGCTAATTTAATACAAAGCCAACAAGCTCTCAGATTCAGTTTAAACAGCTATCAATGCTGGTGAGTTAACCTAAAAGTCTCCTTCTAGACAGGTAGGGAAGCCCCACTAAGAGCAACTCCACTGCACCTGTCTATAATAATACCAAATACCTAAAAGTTATACTTTGATTTTATTCACAATAATAATATAAAATGCAAATTGGTTTGACTTAACCAACATCTCAAGTTATTTTTTTGCTTTACAAGTGGCTAGGTTCTTGCCTAACCTCTTTTGCATACTCAGGCAGAGAATGGATTTTCCATCAAACTTGTCAGAACGGATTTACCAAATTTTTTCAAGAAAGTCTGAGTCAGTCTTACCAGTAAACCACCTTTGACAGGTATACCTTTGGGAAAGAACTCTAGTCCTTTTGTATAACATGTCTCTAGCCGGAATGAGTTTGTAAGACATGCAAGACGAAATCATTTTCACACAAGATTTATAAAATTGCGAAAGATTTTCAAGAAATTTTGCATCTAGCAACAATACTACAATTTATAAAAGTAGAAGATTGAATTCAAGATGGTAAAACATTTCAACACACCTCTGATGGTAAGGTTGGTGGCACTTGTTTGCAAATATAGATCTTATAAAAAGGGTTCACCTAATTTGATACAAAAATTCCAAAATTTCAGATTCTGAATAAACAGCTGACGATTTTGGCAGATCCAGCTACTGGTAAAATTTAATACACTAATAGAATTTAATAAAGTAAAACTTGGGACTTAAAATAATTAAATATTTTAGTCCACCCCTGATGATAAGGTTGGTGCTACTTATTAACAAACACAGATCTTATAAAATGTTTTCACTGAAGGCTACATCAAAACATCGAATCTATGAGATTGATGTAAATATATTATTTGTTGACCGCAATGTGATGTTTCGATTGGTGGCATTCAATATCAGATGCAAGTCTAACTGGTTAGAACCTATTGGAAAATTTATCACACTGCAGAATTCTTATCAATCATAAATCAACTCGACAACTAAGTCCCTTGCTACTGAAATTGGAAGCAAAGGTTTAAATGCCCATATATATTCTGCCTCACCCATGAATTTCTGATTCTCAGTCAGTGTTTTATGAAGTGATCAAGTATCTTTACTTCAGGACATAAATGATCATGGCTCTCCCAAACTCTCTATTCTTTGTGACTCTTACTAAAGTTTGTCTTTTCATTATCCCACCCACTCTCTATGACACCATCTATTTACACAAGCTCATTAGGTAGATTACTTGCTGTGTACCTCTGTTGCTCTTGTCTTCATTATAACATGTGAGTATCAAATTCTTTAAGCCCTCTTCCTTCATTATGCATCCAAGAAATTTCATTTGTCATTTTCTGATAATAAAGATAATCATCTTTTTTGTTTCTATTATCCTTAAAACTTCTTCGTTACTCACATGCTCTCTCCTTGGTATTCTGTGAATCTTTCTGTAGAACAAAATTTCTGTTGACTCAAGTCTCCTCTTCATCTGCGAGGAGATGGTTCGGCATTCAATGCCATATAGGATGACCAATATTACATCACAGTGATCTCTTGATTTTGATATCTCCAATTCATAATTCAAATCTTGGTCTCTTCATCTTGCTGACTATCCTGCATTCTGTTTTCTTACAATTGGGGGTTAGTCCTTTCTGCTCACTTTCTTTTACTAACTGCTCAGGGAGTTCCTGCAGATTCCAGCTTACAGCCATATCACATTAAAACACTTGTTCCTATATGATCACAAAAGTTAAGCAAGATTGAGCCTGGTCAGTACCTAAATCAGTGACCTTTTGGAAATATCTGGTGTTGTAAGCTTAGATGTCTGGGTGGTGTAATGGATAATGGCTCAGAATTGGAAATCACTGAGCCCAGTTTCAATTTCAATCAGATTCTTTATATTCATTTACCTTGAAAGGCATGAATCCACCACTTCTCCTCCAGCTATAGATAACCATTATTATTCCCCAACCCCAATTCTTACAATACAATAATATTTTCTGGTTTTAAGTAATCTGAAAAAGATTGATAAATGGTAAAAAACAAATCAAAAAACCTTGCAGATTCTTTGCTGTGTCTGCTATCAAGACTGTGTCATCTCCATCCCAGTACAAATTTTGGGTTCTTCAAATATATTTCCATAATAAGTTAAGTTTTCAATTACCAAAATACTAATTTAAATGTAATAGTGTAGCTAGAAGAGAGTTGTTCCCCCTGGATGACACTTTTACGAGGGCAGCATTTTTGGGTCTGTAGTATAAAACTGTATTGAAATAAAAGTGGTTTTAATGTTAGGAGACTACTTACAGTTGAAAGAATTTTTCAATCATGAGTAACTTAAACTCTAGCATATGTATTGAAGTCATTGTTATCTTGGCCAAAAAATAAGCATTATCCAGTGATGTATTCAGGGGTTCTTTTATTATTGTTGACAATGTGAAATGTGTTAATGGACCCAGGATGCGTTCTTGTAAGGTTGCAGCAGTGTTGTGGGTGGGAGACACATCTGAGCTGTCATTATGTAAATTTCAGTTATTTTTCTTGAGAGAAGTTCATCTGAGGGCATGTACTGCACTATCTTTTGTCTTATAGGCCAGGATCTTCTGGCCAGATTAATTTTGTGGAGAGTGAGGTTGTTTTTTGGTCAATTGTTTTGGTCACAACCTGGCCAAGTCTTATTGTCCGACTTTTTTTTACTTTTGATTTTCAGCTGAACTTGTTTTTCCAAATTACTTCATTTTATTCCAGTGCTTTTAAGATATACATTAAATATATATATATATATATATAGGATAATATATAGTTTTAAGTTATGCTATATTTATGGATTAAAGTGCTCAATATCAGGGATAGAGTGTAAGTAAATATAAAAGTGGACACTGAAGTCAACACTTAGAGGTGACAGTCTGTTTCAAGCTAAAATACCTATCAAGGGAATTTGGTTTGTATCTATGGGAATTATCAGCATTGTACCTGTACTTTGATGGATATAATAAAGTCATGATGTCACACAGTAATTCCCAGAACACTGTGCTTGCAATTAGAGATAATAGTTGTACATGATTAAACTATGTTGGAATTTGATAATCAGGTTTATTACCTAGTATAATCATACCATATTAAGAATGCAAATGACATGTTTTATCCATGGAGAGGAAATGCACTTGATTGTGAAGATCAGAGCATGATAACTGATAAGGAAGACAGCTGCACTTAGCATGAAACAAACTCTTGCCTCTGGATGTTAACTTCAATGTCTGCTTATATATAAGAAGGAATCACTGTGCAATATGTTGTATTCTTTTAGGTTTGTAGTAGAATGGGTGGCAAACATAAGTGTGGCACACATGATCAAACTGTAGCTACACCACTGCCTAAATGTACCCCATTTGGTAGGGTTGGTGACACATGTTAATAATTTTAGATCTGATCACGAAAAGTTTTCACTGAAAGCTACCACATACTATTAAAAATTATATTAATATCATATTTGTTGATGCCACTGTAATGTTTGGGTTGGTGGCATTCATTATCACATTACCTAGAGACAGCATCATCTGTATGTCTAGTTACCTGCTTAGAGCCTTCTGTTGGAATCTTCATCACTGAGGAGAATACTCATCAGTCATCAACTCTAAAGCTATGTTGCCTGATACTAAAATTGAAAGTAAAGATTCTTCCTCTCCTCCCATGTGTCATTAATGACACAGACAATTATGTCTCTCCGCAACTGCTATCCTTTTTAGCTCTTAGTAAGGTTTATCATTTCGCCATCCCTTCTACAACTTACTCTGTTATCTATTCACATAAGCTCATCAAGTAGTTGGCTTTCTACACCTGTCTCTTTTACCTTCATATATTGAAGGTAAAAGAGACTTGTGACTATCAAATTTTCCAAGCCCTCTTTCCTAATTATGTTTCCCAGAAATTTCAGCTGTCTTTGAATGAGATTATGCCTTACATAAATTAAATGGCTACTTCTGTTAATTCCCAGCACTTAATCAAAATTTTATAAAATCATCAAGATACTTTTTTTTTTAAACAGTATCACCCCATAGAAAGCGGTAAAGCCACTAAAACACAAGGGGTTACAGGGTGGGGAAGAATTAGGAACAGAAACATTAATAATGAGCAGGAAGAGAAAAAAGTAATCAGGAGGACAGTAGATAGCAATTGACATTGCATTTAATTTTTTTCAGATTAAAGTTGGCTGGAAAGCATAGAGCTGGAAGGAAGTTCCACAAGCGAGAAACGTGAGAAAAGAAACTGTTAGCATATAACTTTACATCTAGCTAGCTCAATGGTTAATTGGTGAAATCTCAATGCCAGTCTAGTACTGTGCCCAAATTCATAGTGTCTAGGTACCATAGGAAAGAGCCCATCCAAACAATTACAATAAAAGTATTTATAGAAAAGGTACAGAGATGCAACCTTATGGTGGTGGGTAAGTGAATGAAGTTTTGCTGCCAGATCAGGACCAGTAATATTGCTGATTGTTCATTGGATCTTATCAAGGACATCAAGGTAAACAGCAAAGGCACAAAACCATATGTGAAAACAATATTCTAAGCTTAGATGAATGGTAGACTTATAGAGAAAAATTGTCTTGCACAACACAGTGAACTGACCTTCTTAGCATCTGACCTAGCAATGGATTCAATATAGTCTTTCCACTTCATGTTAGCTGAGATGTTAACTTGAGAAGGCACAACAAGTCACTTTTCTGGAAGTTAGCATCAGCCATGCTATAGGATGACAGAAAGAGGTCTTACAGATGATTAAATGGAGAGAAGTTTAGTTTTAGAGATGTTAAAATTGACAAGCCATCTTTTGCCTCAGTTAACAACAGACTTGAAGTCCTTTTGGACATTGGCTGCTATTTTGACCATGCCAGACTAATCAGCCTTACTTACATAAAATTCATTTCACATAATTAAATTAAATGACTTTTCAGTTGACTGACAAATTACCCAATATTACAGAGAAATATGGAAGGTATGTTTCAATAAAAAAAATGATAATCCATTTAACTGACTTGTGTTATTGTGGTTAATGATTTCCTTTGCACTTTTGGCTATAAATACTTCAAATGTTTATGATCACATCTTTGAGTAATGAAACTAGTTGATACTGAAATATATATATATATATATATATATATATATATATATATATATATATATATATATATGACAACCTTCTTGTTTATATCCACACAGACACCACAAATATAAAGAACACTTGTTTATTTATTTTCATATTTGTCTGGAAAGTGTACTGTTATATCCAAAATAGAATTCAGATCCATTATGATTTAGAACCATTTTCATTACAACAAAAAATAGTTGGTGGGTGGGCTGTAATACAAACTCACCAACTAACTGCTCTGCTGGTCATGTGATCAACTAGAAAGCTTTTTCAAACAATAAAAATGCACTGAAAACTGACAAACTCAAAGCTTCTGTAAGTCATTCAAGAAAATATCAACACTCCTAATCATTTGGACAACCACAATTTGTGCTAACAATATCAGTTCATTTGTGTGAACAAATCTTTGAATTTTTTTTATGTTTCTTTCTTCTTCTACATGTCATGCCCCTTCAGGATGTGAGTGATCATGGCTCTCCACAAGTTGTTATTCTTTGTATCTCTTAGATTTGTTTTTTGTCATACCTCCTACCTGCTTTTCTACCAACCATTTACAAAAGTAACAGGTTATTTGCTGCTTTTCTGTTCCTGTGAATGTCAAACTCTCCAAGTCCCTTTTCCTGTTTGAATGTCCTAGAAAATTCAATTGTCTCTGATTATAAATATAAGTGCCATTCTTATTTTCATTTTTCTTAAGACTTCCTCATTACTCACATGTTCAGTCTATGATATTCTAAGAATATTTCTTTATTGCTTCTTTACTACTACTTTAAGAAGATTTTCATCTCATAATATTGATGATACTCTGCTGTTGTTTTCTGCAAATACTTCTCAACTTCGTAAAATTGTAAAAGATATTAAAAAATATACAGTTTTAAGACTCCAAATTCTGCACTCTGGATTGTCCCATGTGGTAATAGCCTAGTGGATTAAAAACTGGTTTGTGAATTTGGTAACATAGCAGTTGTGATTTCAATCCCTGGGTCAGACTGTGTACATTAATATACTGGAAATGGAGTGGGCAATAATGACACAGTACTAAATAAGATATTTCTCAACATGATCTTTCCCCATAGATTAAATAAAGGTTTCTGTTTAAAATTTCCAGATCAGTCAACACTTGATGATGGCTGTGGAACACACCGGCTAAAATGCAGTGATAATAACAACAAAAATGAGGACAACAGTCTGCATGTAAGTAATGATGACCTTGTGATCCCAAATATTCCGAAAGCAAAAAAAAAAAACACTTACATGCTTAATAGATTTATGCTTTAAGAGTTAAATTTTCAAATCACGAATAATTAGATGTTTATTATAAGCAATCATATCGAACATTGAATAGGTGAATTCTTTTGCATTTGTTCCACAGGGTTACACAGCTGGTTTGTTTTATAGTTTTTGGTGCTATAAAATGGTATGATCTAATTTGTTATTAAAACAGTTCAATAGATATTTGTTTTAGGAGTTATTTATTTCATATGCCGAATCTCATAGTTTATTATATTTATTAAATTTTCAGAATAAGATAATATAAAAATGCAAAAATTCCTTACTTCACTCACAATCTGTGATTGAAATGCTAAGGTTGTTACCACTTTGAGATTAGAAATTAAAAAAAAAATCTAATTATAAAATCTAGCAACAAAATAATCACTTGCTGAAGAA